GTTTTGCTAGAATACTGTGTAGTGAATCTTCTCACTCCTTACTTCAAGAGAAAGGGAGTTCAATTTTTAACCAAGATATCCTGGCTCCAATGTGTTCATTAGTCAATGAAGTTTAATAGGTATAAAACCAACTAATAAAACAGTTTAAGTAAAAATTACTTTCTTGCTCAATTACTCAGCTTACATTGTTTTGACTGATGTCAGACTTTCATCACTTCTCCAGTCACCAGAATCTTTCAGGGAATATAAATAATAATTTTCTAAAGTAAACTGGGGAAAAAAAGTGTTTTGGGGAGAATAGGTCTCGTCCCTCCCATGGAAGGCACTTTTAAGAGCAAATAATTCTAAACCCTAACATTTGGCTTGTTTGCTATTTCATCTAATGGTAAGATCAGTACTATTATCTAATTAAAAACGGAGATATTTTTGCTAATGGGCCAATAATTAGATAGGCATATTGCCCAAACAATTCATTAATGAGTGGCCTTATGGTGACTACTTTGAAGCAGTTTTCCAAGTGTTGTATAGAAGGCAAAAGCCAAAATAGATATTTGGATTAGTGTGCTTTAAGGGAAGAGGAATGGAGGAAGGGAGAAAAGGTTGTGAAGAATGAACATACAAATGGACAGGGAAAGCAGGGAGCAAAGTGTTCAAGGTATTTGTCTAATACATCTTGTGACCAAAGGCAGTGGGTATCACCTTCATGACACTGACTGTGGCCTAGTATGCATCAACCAATAGCTTATTTTGCAACACAATAAATTGTTAACAAGCAATAAGCCTCACTTCAGAGCAATCCAATTGTGCAGCTCAGCTAACAAAACCACTGCCAACATATCACCAAAAAATGATCTTATGAAAACTAAGCCCAAATATAGAAATGATCATTGAAACTCTAAATATACAATCTTTCTAGTGTAACAGACTATTATAGTCAAACTCAGGAATTATTTAAATATCTACAGCCAACACTGTCCCTATTTAGCATGGTGAAGAGGCCCCCACAACAAGCCTTTGTTTTCCTTCTAAGATTTTATTGATCTCAGACTTATTTAAAACTCAGCAACTGCAAACAGATGTGATTGGGCCAGTGTCAGACTCTCTTTAGTTGCACAGTAAATGCCTAACAAAAGGATGTGTTTCCAGTAAAATCAATAGTTTCTGAAGGAACTGCAACTCCTAATGTTTTGTCTATATGACCCCAACACACAAAAGAGGAAATAAAAATTTTCATGCCAAACCTGTGCCTCTTCACACATTAAGTATTCTCAAACTAGGGTGAGGTCCATCTTTCTGCATTGGTTTTATCATCCTACCTGCTGAGGTTTTGGGGAAAAAAAGTCATTAAAAAGGTAATGGGGTCAGTTAGACCCTTCAATGTTAATCACTGGGGAAAATGAAAATACTACACTTCCAAGGTCTTCGGGGATCTCTTGGACCCCAAACGTACAAAAATTTAAGTAAAACATGATAAGCAAACCAGTGCCTTTTCTTTCTTTAAGTATTCTCAAAGCATGATGAGAACAACTGTTAGCACTGGTTTTGTCTGTATACCTGTTGTGGTTTTAGCATAGCAAAAAAAGTCACAAAAGGTTATTGGGGTCAGTTAGACCTCAAATTAATTACGCAGGTATTCCAGCATCAGATTGTTTTTATTTTGAGGCAGCAGTTATGATACGAGTACATGAATCTTTCAGCATTGTTTTTCCCATAGTTTCAGCGGTTTTTGTTTTTCAAAAAAATACCACAAAAGGGTCTTGGTGATTTGCAATAACGCAGATAACATCTGCCTCACATATCAGGTATTATCACAATAATCTCCAGAAGAGACCATCAAACTGATTTTCTGGGACATCTATGCTTGCTAGGATGAGTTTTCTGGGGAAGCCACAATTGTCAATACATTTTTTTGGCAAACCCACAATTGGCAGATGCTGTTGCTGGGACAAAGATTCACCACTGCATTGCACATGCACATTGCATTCTGAAAGCACATAGAGTTTGGATTTTGCTGAATCTCACGTGGCATAACAAATCTTTGAGTAAGACCCGGCTGTTTCCCAGGGACCTGGGTACAGAAATGGTGCAGACCCTGGTGCAGGAGAGAATCACTGCAGCCTTGCCTCAGGGCTCTAGGGAAGAAGCGTCTAGTGTGCTGGTCACTGACCCAGAGCCTGAAAAACGAGGAAGTTGTTACATCTGTTCCAGAGAAGGAGACAGAAAAACACATCAAAAATGCAATCTGTCAAAAACATCCTGGGGTCAGTTAAACCCAACATAAACGCTGTGTAGTGTGCTTCTGAATCTATCGAAGTTTTAACTTGTTCATAGTTTTATAGTTCACTAGTTATAAAAAAGTCAGTTTTAAATGCATCCATGTGTTCCCCCCCCCAATTCTGACATACTGTGGGTCTCCAAGACCCCAATACAGAAATAGCTGGGTGATTTGTAGTCCAATATGAGGGTTAAAGGAAACCTACAAATCACCAGATTAAGCACACTGCCCACTTGCAACTGCATTCTCTCATTCCCCCCCCCCCAATTGCCCCCGCTTTATGGCAGTCAGCTGGGTCTCAATCCAGCCCCAAGACCTGCAATGTCAGTGGGAATGGGTGGGTTGCACTTTTAACAGTTCACATTAAATCTAAACGCATGTTTACTCTAGAACTGAATTCATTCAAGTGACAGAATAAATGTGCAAGAAGTAAAGTTTGCTTCTGCTTTTAAAAGGACAGTCAATTTGAAATTTAGTGAAATAGAAAATGAAGTACACCTATCTTTGAGGCACCCTAATAGCTACATTTTCCTATTTTAAAAAACATCTCTTTCCATCCTTAATGCTGCATAAAAGATCCATAGAGATGCTGACTGACTAGACAGGAGAACTGTGATAGTGATTATACACAGAGGGCTGTTATATGCCCAAAAGAAACAATGAAAGGGAAAACATTTCTTCAGATTGAAAACCACATTTGTATCTGACAGCGTCCCTCCCAGATCATCATGTCTTCCTTTTACCCCGAAGTCCCCACTTCAAAGAGGTGAGGCTGAATGTGAACATAGCTACTCTGATCAACCTGGGATGAGGGGCAAAGCACTGCAATACGATGTGAGGCCCTTCTCCTTGATGAGCACTGCCGCTGCAGTGTTCCTAAACACAAGGAGCAAGGGAACCAGGTAGAGTCACTACATCAGCAATATTAACAGTGGCAGACAGACATCTAATTGCTGTAATTTAAAAATATGGATACTCTGTGTATAGGCACGTTTTATTTACACACACATGCATCTCTCTGTATGTGGCAACACATATTACCCCATGTTACATAATACAATACATCTATATTTAAATAGCCCATCGTGATCAATGATAAAAAGGCAAGGCAAAGTTCTCTGCAGCAAAAGGAGTATGCTCTAGCCCCTCCCACCCCCCGATCACTACTACTTTCAGATGAAAAGAAAAAAGCTAGCTTCGTTAACCAAAAAACTCATTTAATTGGAATGTAAAAATTTAGAGCTTCAGTATTTAATCCCACCAGCCTGTGAAGATCAGACATCCCTAAATTTAGATGTCCTCTAATATTATGGAGGTGGACATGATTTCCCCAAAGCAACCTCTCTTGTTTTAGAGTCCTCTCAAAGGTTGGAACGAGAGCACAGGAAAACTTTTCCCTTAGAGCCTCTCATTCAAAATTCCATGTAAACTTGAATAAGAGGATGAGATTTCTTATGAGATGGAAACGTGCTCTGGACTAAACTAAAGAAGTGGCATAGATCAGGAGAAAAAAGGGTACGAACCCAACTCCAGTACTTATTTGCCTGTATTCACTTTTCAAAGCAAGGCTTCCATCAGACAAGCTAATATGAACACTGAAGGGGATAATATACTGGCTTCTTTTTCACTCAGATGTCTACAATGGAGTACAGAAGCAGGCAGTGTGTGACAGATTAATCAGAGGCTGTCCCTATTTGGTACAATCCATTACTCAACATTGAAAGTCAAGATTTTTTTTTTTTAAACTGCCAACAGAAACTAGATATCCTTTATGTACGTACATACAATAGAACATGAGTCTATCCCCCATGTGCGATAGGGGACACACAAAAACTTGGAAAGAGACGGTGTTTGGCAGAACTGGGGATCCATCCAGGCTTTAAAAATCTGCACATTAGTTCTCTGAGCCCAAGACTGGTTTAGAGGTGCTGGCCAGCTTTAAACTCTGCAGTTAACACAGGCGAGTGAGTACATTCAGCACACTCAGAGAAAGTCAGCACAGTCAGTATAATCTCTGGGAGGCATGGGGAGAGTGTGGTTCCTAGAGTTTGGAAAGTCAGGACTACATTGAGTCACAAGATGCTGAAATCTTTCACAGATTTGCAAAAGCCTATATTGGGTGCCCAAATTTGACCTCTGGAATTACCTGCAATTTTGACACACACAGCTATAATAAAAGGGCTTATGCTATATCAGCCTTGGGTTATTTTACTTGTGAAAAGTATGAGTTTAAGAGTACAAGAGGTAGCATTGGAGTGCAATTCAGGAGTCTGGCATGAAACGTGTTTGCATAATGATATGCTTCCAGGAGAAGCTGCAATGAACAACATGAGAGCGAGATACAGTGGAACACAAGCTTAGTGATTAAAGGGGATGCACAAAAGTAAGACTAAAAATAGTTACTATCACTATTCATCTAAAGAAAAGGGAAGAAAGACATCAATCACCACCTCCTCCAGGGAACTGACCCTTGAGAATGCCATCCTTTTACTTTACTTTTGCAGAACAGGAATTTGACGACACAAAATTTGAATAAGCAGCTGAGAAGCAATCCCTTTTCTATATAGCACAATGGAAATGGACTCCACATGCCACCACACTACAGGACAAAACCATCATTACAACAAACAGTGAGGGTGTAAATAAGACACCAAACTATTTGTGGCCTGGCTATCAACCAATTTCCAGGATCATGTAAATATAAATATTTTGGATTTATACTCACCTGTCCTCCTGAAACGGGGCCAAAAGGGTTTGGTGGTCTCATGATAGGTTGGCTGTATATTAAAGTTGGTTGTGTCATTACTGGTACACCTCCCATCTGTGTTGGCTAAAAAAAATCCAGAACAGCATAGAATTACAAAACAATTAAACACGGGGGCGGGACGCAGAGTGACTCTTAGCATTTGGCCTGATAAAACTGGAAAGGATTTCTGAAACTGGACTATAAACTGAGGGTCCCTAAAAATGAACACTGCAGACCTTTACTTTAGATAACATGTTTGTGCTGGAGTATAGATGCTGAAGCTGTTTCTATGTAATCTTCCCCCAAAATGTTTGGGGGCATCGAAGCAGCTGTTTATAATATATGAAGAAATTGTGTTAGCACCACAAACATGCTGACCACAAACACTGAGGCTTTGACAGAGTTCTCCCCTCTCCATTATGTTGGAGGTACTAGAAAGCAGAAGTCACCTTACACAACATGGGTATTTAACATGCCATTGTTGTGACTGTTTTGCACTTTCAAGAACTGATGAAATATGTATATAAATCAAGATAATGAGTTAATTCCCAATTTGTCTGACCGAGAAGTCTAGGTTTTCTGAAGGAGATAGTGTCAGATTAGAGTTCAGACGCAAGAGTCACACATGTGGTAACTTTTTTTTTTATTAATTCTAATTTTATTTCCCCCACATCAATGTTGGGTGTTTTTGCATTTCACTCAGTCATGACAAAAATATGTGGATCAATTTTGTTCTCTTTTTAACCATATTGACCTAACTATGGGTGTTTACATTACAGTTCAGCCACTGTTTAGTGGAAAAATCCTGGTACTATTAACCTCAAAATGCAGCAAAGGTCTATCCTGGTTAATTTGTTTACAATAGCAATTATCCACTAATGGATGTTTAACAGGGTGATCATTCTTGGAAAAGGATCCCCAGCTGTGGCAATTCTGAACAAATCTGGACTGTTTTCAGAACACGATAGGAAACCTCCTATTGCACATAGTCCATCCCTCAATTATGAGGCCTCCAGAACACATCATCGTGCTGAGGTGATGGAAGCTTTAAACAAGTAATAACAGCTGGATAAAGTGGAGGACTGTAGGCTCCTATATAGGATTTTTTGTGGAACTCTTCCTTCTGTGTTTGGTACTTAGCTACTGTGGTGACAGGTGCCTTTTGGTAGGGTTCAGAGGGAATTAAATTCAGAAGGAATGGTTAATTATCTAAGCAAACTTTAAACCTGAATTAACAATAGCATTTTTATAAATATAGTCACTGATTAATTAGTAAAACAACTGTGAGAAAGATTTTTCAATTATTTAGCAGAAGAATTATTTTTAGATGTTTTTCCCTCCATTCAGGAGCAGACCCAGGTGCATGTAACTCTTTCCTTATTAAGTAATGTGGCACTCATTCCTCTTAAAGTCTACACAGAATTGTCCCATTCATATCTGGATTAACTGGACAATTGGAAGTCTCCACCTTTTACTGTTATTTTAAGGAAGTACTTACTGTGATAGCAATGCTAGCATAGTGCAAAAAAGGGATGCATCCATGTTAAGGGTCGGTAATAAATTTACTGTGATGTTTTAACCATTAGATTTTCTTGTACCATTAATTATATGGCAAGTCAGTCTTGCATACATGGTGGGTGAAGAGGGAGATTTCTATATATTTGTGTTACTACTTCAGATTTGAAGTTCTAGAGACAAAGATCTGACCAACATACAACTACATGAGTTTTCTTTCTTCATGATGTTGAGTCTCCTGAAATATAGCTCTAAGTATTTCCTTAATAGTCATCCAATAAAACTCTTCTGCCTCAATAAGGAGATTAAAAAAGGGGAGTTCTCGGAGTTATGGAAAGATGAAAACCTGAGGGAGAATTTAGTAAGTAATGGAAGATGAACAAGGAACTTGGTGACTACTTCATTCAATACACACTAAACGTATGGAATAAGTCATCCAGGGGCTAGGTGAAGAAGAAATGGGTAGAGATGAGGTTTAAGAGCCATAGTTTATTTTCCTGCAGAAAAATGGGATTGAGTGATTCAGCGAAGAACAAACAAGAGAAATTGATATTAAACTTACTTAACATGTTTAGGCCAAGTGACACATTGCTCCTAGAATGCTTTATATTTGCAGCTAACTCATAATAAAAGTGACAAGTAAACCATGTATATGGCAAATTAAGTAACAGGAAATTTCACTAACCATTCCATAGCCCATCATTCCTGTTGGTGTTGTAGCAGGATAGGCCATTACAGGCGGTGCCTAACACAGAAAAGAGAGAACACTGAACTGCATGGAAGACTGAGTTGCATACAAGATAATAAATTGCCTTTAAGTGTCAAACGGAGCACTGACTAGACAGCATATTACTAATATAGCAAAAAAGATCAACTGACACCTATTAGCATTTGTAGGTTTCTGTTAAAGTTTATCTGATTTCAGATCAATTGCAATACTTATGCTCAAGGTTTCTAGATAGACTCGACATATGTATAAATTACAGACAAGACCAAATCTGTTAGGGTTTTGACTCACAGTAATCTAAAGTTCCACCTAGAGATATCGGAGTCTTCAGTCCAAAGAATGTATAGAGATCTAAATATGTATGTTTTGTACTTAATAGGAAATTCAGGAAATATTTACATATAATATACACAAATAAAATCAATATGATTATATGACAAAAGTGAATACTGCCCGAGTCCTATGAAGTATAAAACTTACTACTTATTTTACTGAAGTAACTGTGCCCAGGTAATTCTAAAAATGGAACCAGATATAAAGGCCAAGTTACTGCGGTTATAGTAAGAACATCAGAAGCTCTCTCTTTTCCAACCAGGCTACATACACACTAAAGATTTTAGGGGGGTCTCCATTACCTTAGCACTGATACAGCTGCGCCAGTCCTAGCAATGGTGGGAGTTCTAATGCTGGCTGGCTTTCAGTGTTTTACCAGCTTGCAGTTTAACCCCATTCATAGTAGGTCTAGGTGACATGGTAACACAGTTCAATGCTGGTCACTGGTGGAGTTGCACCTGTGCTAGAGCAATGATAAGAGGTAGCCCTAAAATCCCAGTGCAGACATTGCCCCACAGTATTTACAAGTGGGTACAGAACATTGATCTGCTACTCTAAAATGAGTTTCTTTTCAATTGTTAGGAATAGCCTAGTTATTACAATGAATTAAAACATGGTAAATCACTACCAATACCATTCAGTCTATATAAATTAACATCATTACATGACAGCTATTGTGAAGTGGAAGAATGAGACTGGCATCCCTGCTCTAGGCTTTCTCTCTGTCAACAGTAAACTGATAATATATCCCCTACTGTTTAAAAAATGCAATGCATATATAAAGACCCTCTGATACCTCTTAGAAAGCAGGAGGCGGCAAAAGATATATTCCGTTTAAAAGCAATTCTGCCTCCTTATATATTCCTTCGTCTTTCCACTCTCCCACGCCCCTGACCCTATTTATTAGGGCAGACTTTGGCATGGAGACAAGAACTTTGTCTAAGAACATTATCTAGTTGAGTACTTATCAAGTACCAATAGACTGTGATATCTAGGGATCTTTATCTGCTTCACCTCCTGTTAATCCCTCAGTTGCAATTAATAATGCTCTGCTTGTGACATCCCAGTTCTTCGCTGTGTAAATTATAATTCATGACACTTCAGAAGATTGAACCAGACAAACTCCAAGATCATGCTTTCATGCATGTCTCTTGTATTACAAAGATTTTATTTGGGAAGAGACTCTCAAGGAAAGTGGTGGAGTAATTGTTACTTGTGACATTCAGAACTACACTGGAGAAAGAAGATATGTTGTAGGGAACAATATTCCACAGGCAGGTAATTTCACCCTCACAATCCAACCCCAGAAGTGTGATATAAGGAGGACTATTTCTGAATAGAACATTAATTTTTTGAGGTATCAGCTGCTCTTTAATACGCACTAGCCAATGGTAATTAGCATTCTAGCAGCTATTAGAACAAGTTTCAGTGTTTAAAGAATTACCTAGATTGTACAGTAACTATCTAAATATTATTCAGTTCAAATAGCTTTGAACATTCTTTAAATCATTCACATTATATGTATGTGTACACATACATATACACACAAATGCTGGCGATTATATATTTTTTTAAGAGTGCTCCAGTACAGACTTTACATCCTCCACTGTTAAAATTATCCCATAATGAAAACTGAATACAGGGAAAGACCAATATTGTTGAAATACAAAAAGATTATCTGTGAGTAAGACTGCATTCCTCCAAGAAAACAATGCACAAGTTATGGCTTGCCCTTTATAAACTTAATCATGAGCTGGGATTTTCTCTTAGTTTATTTGAACATAAATGACATATTGGTCTCTCCCTACTTGAAAACAAGATCTACAATAAAAGTGAATAAAGTGCCAATTATAACAGAAGCCTGTGAGATTTCATGCAATTATTCAAACGCACACAACTTATCTTCATTCAAACTTTACCAGATGCATTAAAGGCAGCACAGACACAGACCCAGCTATCTGGCAGCAAATGGCACAGTTTTAAGCAAGGAAAAAAAAATCTCAGTATTTCCCATGCCATCATTCGAGTCAAGAGCCTGCAGAACACCCATGAGATTTGTATATGCTAAGAAAAGCTCAAATCTTCTGCACACCAAAGATCTTAATATGAGAAATGTGTAATAGCAGGAAGGTTATGAGATTCTGCTACAGCAGTGGTTAATATAGCATGCCAATTGATTGCAAAAAGGCTGTTGGGTTTTTTTTCACTTACGTATTGTGGAAAATGCATGCCATTCTGTATTTCCCAGGGAGAACAATTACATAATGCAATAATACTGGATTAGAAACAGGTACTTACACAACAGAATATACACAGATAGCATTTTAGTTCACAAGTATACTTAATGTCTGCCCTAAAATAAAAATTCTTGTAATTCAAGTCATTGAATAAATCTTTTAAGTGACACTGTCAAGGTTGATGGGTTTCATACCTGTTTGTATAATCCATTTATTTTTGTGTGCACTTATTTTCCAAAAACATATTCTTCCTTGTTTTCAAAAGCTTATCAAGCAGCAGCACAGCGCTTAGAATCAACGCTACAATAAATAGACTAATGGACAAAGTGGAGAAGAATTTGATGAACAAACCAATTTCCTCCTTCTAAGTTTTTTCAAACAATTTAATAGTGAGTAAAAGGTTTTGTATAAAACAAGATGCCTTGACAGTGTCTTTAAAAATTAATAAAAGAACTGGTTAGAAATGGAATGATAGGCTACAAGATGCATATAAAGATATTGTATATTTTGCTATGACAACAATTAAGTATTTTCAAGCACATGAGAAATATCCAACTGCTAGCAAGTCATTCAGGTAGTAAGTGAGTACTACAGAAACTGTAATATCCACAACCACTTTCACCTGCATACAAGATCTGAGTTGGCAGCTGCCACCCAAAATGAGAGCAGGTAGATGACCTGAAGAGAGATATTGTTTCTCTTTCCAAATCTGTAACAAATCATGTGTTTCATTGTTAAATCACAAAATTGTTTAATACCGTTTGATATAATAGCTCAAAACACTTGTTTTGTTATGTTTCCTATGCTTGTATACTATTCTCCAGTTTGTGGTAAAAGGGAGATTAGAATTTACACATGTAGGTCCCACCAGCATAACTGGGAGCTACTCAAGTATATCCTTCCCTCCCTCTCTCAACACATACATTAATGGATGGGAGAACAAACCACTTTGGTAAAAACACGTGATCCACAAGACATGCTATCTGTAATGGAGTTGTAAACTAGAGAAAAATCAGATTGGTCACTGAAGGTGTTAAGTGGAGACATGTATTAAAAGCAAGCACACACTTCAGAGTGTGACTGTACTACACCTCTACCCCGATATAACGCTGCCTCGGGAGCCAAAAAAATCTTACCACATTATATCGAACTGTGTTATAGCCGAATTCGTGTTATATCGGGTCGCGTTATATCGGGGTAGAGGTGTAGTTGTACACATTTCTGAGGCACCTATCCCTATAACATCACTTCCCACACCCTCAGGTAGCAGAAGATGCACTACTTCCTGCCTCAAGTCACAGAGCAGGCTCAGTGTTGTGACATACAGCAGTGGTTCTTAGACAGTCTGTGGAGCCCCAGGCTAAGGGGTCCATGAAAGGTAGTGGTTACCACAGAACAGTGGTTTTCAACCTAGCGGTCTGCAGACTTGTCTAAGATTTTCAGTGGGGTCCACGCTGCCATTTGAAAAGGTTTAAAACCAACGACATACAGCTTCACCACACAGGATTATATTTCCACACTTCCAAACAGCATTCAGAATGAAGAGTAGCCCCTACCACTATTTCCAAAAGGTCAAGTTACCCTACTCAAATAATTACTAAGGGTTTGATGTTCTACAACCTAAGTTTCTGCCCTAGCAATACTTTTAGTTTACAGTATAAATTCACACTCACGCTACAGAATAAGTCATATGTAAGTCTGTGCATCTGCCACGGAGGTCATGGAAGACAGCCAGCAGGTACGACTGACTCCAGGGCCGCTGGAGCATCTTGGGCGGTCCTGGGCCACCCCCCCAGCACCAGTGGCAGCGGTCCCAGACTGCCGCTCCTGGAACATGCACGGGAGCTCCAGGGCCCGTCCCAGTACCAGCGGGTACCCTGGAGCCCCCACTCCAGAGCAGGGCGTGCCCCAGAGTCCCCCTGCCCTCCATACCAGCGGGCGACCCCCCCCTCCAGAGCAGCAGCTGTGCCCCTGGAGCCCCCCAGAACACCCAAGATTTAGTCAGGAGTATATAGTACAAGTCATGGATAGGTCACGGGGCTGTGAATTTTTGTTTATTGCCTGTGACCTGTCCATGACTTTTACTAAAATTACCCATGGCTAAATCTTAGCCTTAGTCACATGCAATGAAACAGCGTATCTGATAAAGGGGAAATAATCTAAATGAAGTTGGCCATCCAGTTACTGTTACTATAGCAATATACATTCTCAAACTGACCATTTATGATTCAAATAATCTTCAAAACCTATCCACTGTAATGACTCATCACCTCCACACCTTTATATTGCATGTTTGCCTATATTTTAAGTTACATAGATTCACTACTTCAGAATCTTCATTCACTTACAATTGTTGGAGCATTCCATGCAGTTGTGGGTGCAACCTTGGGCTGCCAGTTGGAACCACCAGTTAATTTCTTTTCGCCTGGTTGAGTCCAATTTACATCACTTCAAATAAATTTTTAAAAAAACATTAGAAAACAGATTTTCTTTGCACCATCTTCAGATATAGTACATTAGTCAAATAAGCTCGCGTGTTTCCACAAGGTGAAAATCTACATTAATACTGACCCCTTAAGAGCTTAGTCACCAAATCAAGTTGTACAGTCACAGTAAACCTGGTCTGGACTAGGGAAAACATAGATCAGATTCAGCTAACAGAAGCTAGCTAAGACAGACCTAAACTCAACTACTTTTCTTAGCCTAGATGCAGTGCAATACTATTAGCTCCATTTTTGCAGGTCAAATTATAACGTGGGCAGGAGCAAATGTGTACAAATTCCTGGATGGTTTCAAGGCTAGAACAGTGTTTGTGTACAGACTACTCCACAGCAGCCCTAACTGGATTGACAGGATTCTTTTCTTTGCAGTGGTGCTGGAGTTGCTGTGGCTAATTGTGCTTGATGTTAAATACAACATCAAAGCTGATCACAATTATTCTGGATCAGGAGTTCACTTTCCTCCTACTGGCCCATCACACCCCAGATTTCTTAAACTTCATGGGATACTACACACAACTAATTTTATTTCAGGTGTTTGGAAATGGGATGTGTTGAGGTCTGTTAAGGAGCTGCTAGTTATTGTAGGCATGCATTGTAATACTAAAACACACATACTGAATGACCAATAAACTACGTATTTTGTGAAGTTTATTCACTAAGTAAGAGCAACAGGCATCAGGGTCCAGAGCAATTAACAGGATTTAGACCTAAACTCTAATTCGAGCTTTGTTGCTGCTGCCCTGCTCCCACCCCACAAGTAGCTATGGGTCAAGTCACTTCACCTAGGTTTCAGTTTCCTCCTCTGTAAAATGGAGGTAATACTGATTTCCTCAGAGATGCTGTAAAGATTAGTATGCACAAAGTGGTTATGAACATGAAGCGCTAAATACTATCAAGAATAAGCCTTTAAAAATCCAAGAAATTTTCCAAGTTTGATTAAAAACAAACACTCACTTTTTAGTAGTTCCATTTCCAATGCCCAAATCTGCCACAGAATGGGAAAGACATTACTGAAATAGCCTGTTCATTTTATACAATTACACACACACTTATCTTAAGATTTCCAACAAATACTTACTGCCTACAAGGTTGGCTAAGGATGAATCCAGATCATCTGATACTAACTTGTTAGGTGGCAGCTTGGCAACCAGAAGATTCTGGTTTTGAGAGGTCACTGTTGGTTTTAGGAGTCCACCTAATTCATCAAAGCCTTAAAATGATAAAACATATAAAACAGGCCTTAAACTTGAGGCTTCCACTGAAGATCAGATTACACATTTACACCAAGGGGGGAGGGTGTAAGGAGTCCTACAAAACATTGGTTAAAAATATGGAAGACTGAATCAAGTGTTGCACAAAACTACAGTATATAAAGGGAATAAAGCCATTATACCTCAACTGCAAACAGGGATATTAATGGCACAGAAGAATAGCTGCTTTGAGACTGATCCTTCAAACCCTATGTGTGAGAAACTCCTACTCACTGCGATGCAAATGTCAAGTATGGAAGGTTTTCAGGATAGCATCTATAGTTTTAAAGGTCAAAACTCCTCTAAATTGTCCTGTTGCAGAAAAAATTCTTTTTTAAAAAAAATGCACAGGAATGCTAACCCAAAGGTGCATAAAATCCATCAAGCAGAAAAGATTTAACTACTGAGTGCTCAAAAGAATTAAAGGTACTCAGTACAAATCCAATTTCTCTGTTAAGTGTGTACCAACTGGCAATTTGCTATCTTGATCTTAAAACGATCATGCCCTAAAAAGAAGATTGATTATCCAAATTATTTAAACACAAATAAAAAAAATTCAGAAATTAAACAGATTTGAAAGCTTAGGTTAATTCTTAACCTTCGGTTAATTAATAAGAGGGAAGGTCCTCATGGATCAGAACCCGTTAAAAGATAGGAAACAGTCAGTTTTCACAGTGGAGAGATCCCCAAGGATCTGTAATTGGACCAGTGCTGTTCAACGTATTCATCAATGAACTGGAAAAAGGAGTAAACAGTGAGGAGGCAAAGATTGCAGTCAATACAAAATTACTCAAGACAGTTAAGTCCAAAGCGGATTGCAAAGGGATCTCACAAAACTGGGTGATTGGGCAACAAAATGGCAGGTGAAATTCAATGTTGATAAATGCAAAGCAATGCACATTGGAAAACATAATCCCAACTATTCATAGAAAGAGATAGGGTCCAAATCAAGAAAGAAATCTTGGCATCATCGTGGATAGCTCTCTGAAAACATCTGCTCAATGTGCAGCAGCAGTCAAAAAAACTTACAGAATATTAGGAACCATTAGGAAAGGGATAAATAATAAGACAGAAAATATAATGCCACTATATAACTCCACGGTACGCCCACACCTTGACTGCTGCATACAGTTCTGGTCGCCCCAACTTAAAAAAGATATATTAGAATTGGAAAAAGCACAGGAACAAAAATAATTAGGAATATGGAAGAGCTTCCATATGAGGAGAGATTAAAAAGACAGACTTTTCATCTTAGAAAAGAGACAACTAAGGGTGGGGGGGGGGGATATGATACAGGTCTATAAAATCATGAATGGTGGGAAAAAATGAATAAGGAAATGTTATTTACCCCTTCAGATAACACAAGAACAAGTGGTCACCCAATGAAATTAAAAGGCAGCAGGTTTAAAATAAACATAAAAAAGTACTTCTTCATACAGTGCAGTCAGCCTGTGGAACTTACTGCCAGAGGAAGCTGTGAAGGCCAAAAGTATAACCAGATTCAAAAAGAAGTAGGTAAATTCATGGAGGATAGGTCCATCAGAGGCCATTGGGATGCAACCCCAATCTCTGGGTGTCCTTAAACTTCTGACTGCCAGAGGCTGGGACTGGACAACAAGAGATGCCTCATTTGATAATTGTCCTGTTCCGTTAATTTCTTCTGAAGCATCTGGCATCATCCACTGTTGGAATATAGGATACTGGGCTAGATAGACCATTGGTTTGACCCAGTATGGCCATTATGTTAATCAGTGTAGAAAAATGCCTTTTAATTTCACAGCACTACGCAGTGAAGACAGAATTTAACTTTGTAGTTCATGGCATATTAGATTAAATTATATAGCCTTTTGATCAGGTAGGTAACTAAGGCTAGTTCTGCAAATATTTATGCATGTGCTGAACTTTGTGCTTAGTCCCACTGAAGTAGTAAAAAATAACCTGTGTGAAGTTACTTGCATGCATAAGTGTTTGCAGGATCAGGGTCTAAATAAAAGGAGTGATTCTAAATATTATAGAGCAATCCCTACAAAAATATTCAGTAGAAAGGAGCAGCCCTTTAATTAGCAAAATACAAAAAAGACACACAAACAAAGTGAAAGATGCTGCTATTGCAAGTTTAAATCCACTTTGCTTTCACCAGTTGGAGTCTCTTCATAGCAGTCTGCATTTGTTTACACCAGAAACAAATGTCCCTAGCCTCTGTTTGCCAGAAACTGGGAATGGACGACAGGGAATAGATCACTTGGTGACTACCCATTCTGTTAATTCCCTCTGGGGCACCTGGCATTGGCCACTGTCAGAAGACAGGATACTGGACTAAATGGACCTTTGGTCTGACCTAGTATGGCCGTTCTTAAGAGATGTACCTTCCATAGATGCCAAATGATTAAAGCACATTTGTTGCCTACATTGATATTAATGAAAGCCTCTCTTACCACCAGAATCTACGACGACATTAGAAGATTTGTTTCCAAACACAGACTCAAAGTCAACATTAAGGCCAGCTACGGGCTGTGGTTGAGCAACAGGAGAAGGAGTGAACCCTGAACAAAATATAAAGAGTACAAATGGATTATACAGCAATTGTTCCACAACTCCACTTTCTGTCTGAAAGAGGATATACCAAACCATGTGTATAGATTTGAGTATTATCCAATAGCTGTAATGATTGGATAAGTGAGTGAATGGAAAAAACCTCCTAAGGCCCAGATCACTCCCTGAAGTAGAAATGCACACAGGAAAGTATCTGGGTAGTGGTTTGCTCCAAGTAGTGTTTACAAATCCATTTTCCTTCCCTTAAAAGGGGCTGCCTTTTTATCCCCAACAGATTCCCAGGAGGCAAGGTCAGCAATATACAGGCACAGAATCCCAAGACACTAACTTTTTTTGGGTGAGACTTAGGGCATGTCTCCATTAAAGGCATTATAGCAGCACAGCTGCATTGCCATCATGTAGAAATGCTTTCCTACATCAATAGAAGGGGCTTTTCTGTCTATGTAGGTAATCCATCTCCACAAATAGTGGTACGTAGGTGGATGGATGAATTCTTCTGTCAACCTAGATACATTTACACCGGGAGTTAAATCAGCTTAACTATGGGGCTCAAAGATGTCAATTTTTCACAACCCTGTGCAACATAGTTAGGTCCATCTAACATTTTTAGTGTAGATTAGGACTAAATAATATACAGCTTTTTCTTACCCAATGCTCACAGCTGTGCCACCACACCTTTACATAAACGGAAAGTGGGTGGGTAGAGAATCCTCCTCAAGCTTAACACTGTTCATATAATCTCCCTGCTAAATTCTCCCATGTCTCTATACTAACAGGTGGAGTGCGACTACTTAACAGCATGGTTTTATTGCAGCAAATCACATTACTAGGGCAGATGTCTCACCAATGTACAAACAAAGACAATCTACTATGAGACAACTGATAACAGAAGCTACTTAGACACTGTTACTACGAATATTTTTATGTCTGTTCTGTTGTTTGATACAATTCTATGTGGAATGCAGTAGTAATAAGTCTAGTAGTTAAGGCGGGGGCGAGGGGGGGGGAGGGGCTGGGAGTCAGACAAATTCTAATTTCAGTTCTTTCCCTAACTATGGCCCTGTCAGAAGCGATACCACGTCATTTTCTGTGCATCTGCAGAACAAATAGGCAGTCACTATCTCACATATTGCAAGAATTATTTAATGTTTGTACACCACCACCTTGGAAGTTTAATATACTATTAAGTACTAGGTAATAAGTGGAAGTTTATGACCCAGTTCACTATATTAAGTACAGGAAAATAAAACCAAAATTAATACTGAGTTTTATTTGAAGTGTTTATTGCAACTGTTGCCATTTTACTTTGGCGGATAAATTAGTAAGATAACTATTATATGAAAGGCAGCATAAAAATATTTAACATTTTAAAACTTGTTTCCCTGACGAGTGTAACAGTAGCAGCTCTGCTTTTTATACCACTGAGTCAAGGAAAGGAGATTAGACAAGATCAAGTTTACCTAGGAATAAAAGTATCTTAATCAAAAGAAACAATTGATCAAAGACCATACTCCCCCCCCCCCCACTTTTCTTACTTCTGTTAAAATGTATCTGTTTATCTACAGTGAAAAACTATTTCACCTCAACAAAATTAGTGTTTAAAGTTGTTTAACCTTGACAAAATATAAACCCGTTGGAGAAATACAATTTCCGTTACCAGTCACACCATTTTAGCTGCCTTAAAGGAACACACAGTTAAGTTGAAGCAAAAGCACCAATAGAGAGCCAAAGAACTGCTACACAGCTAATTTTTATTACAAAGCAACTTTAAACACTGTGTTTATGGCAAGACAAGGGAAATAAGTGCATTTCAGAGATTTCAAATTTTAGTGAGGAATTCATCTGACAGGATACAATGTGGCTCTTTTAAAACAATCTTTGCAGAAACAGAAAGATTGATTTAAATAAAGTCTATGCTTTTACTTTAGAAAATGAGTCTGCTTCTGCAAAACAAGTGTCCGGCTCTCATACTTTAGGATTTTTCAGCTGTAAGCAACATAAATCAAGAGAACAGCATTAGGGACTCATCAATTTCTAACTGTGGAGTGGGGGAGGGCAGTTTTACCCTTGGGTTTCTGCCACCAACCCAGTCAATTACTCAGCCACAAGTTTATTTTGAAGATTTTAGCAAGTGAGGAGGGAAAAACCCAACTTTAAATCCTTAAGGGAGTTTGTGTTTAGCAAAAAATAATCCTGCCGGGAAGATGAGAAAACAGGAGTTAGCAAGAACCAGTGATTCTGCATGTTTTTCTTGATAGAGAGTAAGCTTTTTGCTTTGCATTACTTTTTCATTAACCTTGAAATGTGCATGGAAGAATTCTAATTAAATGGATGGAGGATTGCATCCTGGGAAGCAGTGACTCTGAGATAGATTTGGGGGCCAGAGAGGATAATCAGCTGAACATGAGCTCCCAATGTGATGCTGCAATCTGGAGCGCTAACGTGATCCTTGGATGGATAAACAGGGGAATCTTGACTAGGAGTAGAAAGGCTATTTTACTTCTGTATTTGGCACTAGCTGCTGTAATACTGCATCCACAAATCAAGTAGGACATTGATAAATGGAGAGGGTTTAGAGAAGAGCCAGAAGAATAAAGATTAGAAAACATGCCTTATAGTGACAGAACTCAAGGAGCTCAATCTATTTATCTTAAAGGAATGTTAAGGGATGACTTGATCACAGTCTATAAGTATCTACAGGGGGAATAAATAGGCTCTTCAGACTAGCAGAAAAAGGTACAATACGATCCAATGGCTACAAGTTAAAGCTAGACAAATTCAGACTAGAAATAAGGCATACATTTTTAACAGAGAATAATTAACCATTGGAACAATTTACCAAGGGCTATGGTGAATTCGTCATCACTGGCAATTTTTAAATCAAGATTGAATTTTTTTTTTTAAAATATGCTCTAGGAATTATTTTGTGGAAGCTGTATGGCCTTTGGTACACAGGTGGTCAGATGAGATGATACAATGGTCCTTTCTGGCCTTGAAATCTATGAATTATTACCCAAGAGGTTAGTTTCGCTAACTTTAGCAATTCCTGTATACTTCACTGAAAGGCAATTTTGACGAGTCTTCAAACAAAAATTCCTCTGACAATCTCAGAAGACACCCCTATAACAGCAACAGGGCCCATAATGCACATCCACACCAGATAGCCAGTGATTGACAACCTATATAATGACTTGTAGACACACTATAATGTCATTGCGCGGGTTGTACGAGTATCAGGTTGCTGTACTGACACATTACAACCCTGCAAGTGGAGAAACCAATAATTTCACACAACAGATGTCCTTAAACAGTCGACTCACCTAGCACAGCGGGGCTCTACAACAGAAGCAGAGATAAAGAACGAGGGAAACAGGAAGGTATGCCAGCAAATAAACCAGTCAGCAGAACACAAAAGGACCCCCTAACTAAATTTTGGTATCTCTTCCTCATCCACCTTAGAGTAGTGGGGTAGGGTAAGATCACTTATGAATAGGGCCCTGTGTAAAACACTATTTTTTTAAAGAAAACATTGTAAATGGAAAAGTATTGAATTTCATGGAGTTGCACAGAATGAGTTTTACAACTATATTTAATCAAATTTGCAACTAAAATTAGCAGCAAACACAAACACATGCAATTCACTAAATGTTTACTTCTGTCACAGGCACACAGCACTTTAGAATTCCACACAAATTCATTCCATCCTTGAAATTGACTAAGGTCATTTTTCATATTAAAGGACTTTGTTGTAGACATTCTTTTTAACAAATGGCATTTTCACAATGCCTCTACCCTCTGTGAAATCATGATTTACACAGGACCCTGCTTAAGAACAAACAAAATTAGAGCCTGCTGTCACAGTTGCTTTTCATAAGGAACTGTTCAGTGTGGGATGAAGCAATGGAGGAATATTAGAATAGTGTCCTTGAAACAGAGGAGTTATTTACTGCATGTTAGTGCTTAAAAGAAACATTTAGCACAAGTTTAAAACATAAGGTCTTGTCAATCACTTGTATATCTGCAATGATGCATTTAAGGTAAGCAATGATACATGAGTAATTGGAAATTGTTAGCCAATGTATCAAAACAATGCAGTTTTGTCAGCTAACTAATGCATCCAGAGGTTTTCCTTCTTCTAGGCCAGTGGTTCCCAAACTGGGCTTCGTGAACCCCTGGGGGTTCACGAAATGTTACAGGGGGTTCTCGGGAAAAAATTCCCTAATGGCAGACAGAGCTGTTCCTAGGGACCCCGGACAGCACGGGGTCAGCAGCCTGGAGCCCCTGGACTTCCAAGAGCTACGCAGATCAAAGCAAGCATATCTATCACACTGAGGAGATTTAAACTTCAAGACTCCTTATAAGAAATGGAAAGGGAGGTGGATATTTTTTGCTGTTTTTAAAATTAAATAGGCAGTTAGTATTGTTTTTAAAATTATTATGAAGAACAAGTTTAAGCTTTGTTGTAACGTGCGTTGTTTGCCTGGACTACTCAAGACCTGAATGCTTATGTAGGAGGAACTCTTTGAGTTGGCTTCTTAAATATCTTCATGCTGTTTCAAATCTGATACTCCTTGATGAAACATAGGAGCCTTGTCTCATAACAAGCTTATTCAAAGTGATACAAGCTACGGAAGTGAGATCTTGGAAGAGTGTTGCCGTTTTCATAATGTAATAAAAATAATGTAATTATAAATAATAATTAATAATAGTGTGTAATAAGCAGGTCATAAAAACAAAATTTTATATTTCCAAGATCACTGCTTTTATAATTTATACTCAGGTAAAGGAGAAAATCCCTGGAAACATTCATTTTTAGGAGGGGGTTCGCGAGACTTGACATTTTAGTGAATGGGGTTCACAGGTTGTTAAAGTTTGGGAACCACTGTTCTAGGCACATATCAAATTAATTCAAGTTGCTATGTCTGTGATAAAACCATATCACATTACCTACCTCCAAATAGACCAGCTACAGTAGAGGGCTCATTGCGGAAATGAGAAGCATTAGGATAAGCTTGAGGGCCACAAAATGAATCTGATAAGTCATATCACAGAACAGAAAGAGCAGAGAAAGAATAGGAAGAGTTACAGAAAGAAAAGAACCAAAACATACTATTTATATTGTCAAATACTTTGAACTGAAATTAAAAAAACTAAACCTGTGTATACTCTAATCATAAAATGGAACCAAAGGAGGCAACCTAATATATCAAACACCTTAAAAATGGAAACAAGTTTTATATTATCTAGAACATCAAGGGAAAGACACTGTTGCAAAATTACAACTAAAACACATGTACATTTTTTAGCTCAAATGTCATGTTTTACATCTTTGGAAGACACAAATGAGTGTAAAAACCTCAAGTGCCAACTATTTATGCTAAACAATCTGTCCACCTCGCATTTTACTGTGACACGGGGAGTACCTTTCCCAGACCTGAAGAAGAGCTGTGTGTGGCTCAAAAACTTGTCTCTCACCTATAGAAGTTGCTCCAATAAAAGATATTACCTCACCCACCTTGTCTCTGTAAAAACCTTAAGCCATTTTCTCTAATACCTGAAGTATAATAATACAGTTGAATAGTGGATTCATATTTTGTTGCCACAAGGGTGTTTGGTTCGGCAAATGGACTGAAATGATCTAAAGAACCAGGAGTTATCTTAAAATCACATTTACATTGTAGCAACTTGTTTGTACTAATACAGTTAAAGTAATGCCTATGGGGCTTTTTTCACATTAAAAACCTAGTTTTCAGGGAATTATGATTTGGCTATAAGTATATATTCTAGGTTGTGACTTGGTTTTTACATAGACTTATCAGGGCTCCCCCCCAAGATCAATTTCAAGAAAGATTTTTATTGTGAAAATAAAAGATCTGCCAGACTGTCTTCACAAATAGCTTTGCTCTAAAAAACAAAAGCTGTCATGTAATTAGTCTTATTTTTTATTCTTTTTAATAGGTTAACTGACAATTCTTCACATTGAGAAATAATCCAATTACTATGTACTTCCCCTAACACAAGTTTTAGGAGGATTTTTAACATAGCAGCCCTGATGTTTGGTCTACAGTGGCTAAAGTTGTGGGGTGTGTGCGCGTGTGGGGGTGGTGTTGTTTTTTAAGCAAGTTATAAATGGTGATTTATACGGTAAACTATTACCTGTCCGCTGAGTGAAGAAGAATTTTTAAAAGTCAATAAAGTAACAAGATATTTTAGATCAGTGATGTCAATATTAATGTTATCACCACAATTAAAAAGCTACGATTTCTAAACAAAAACTCCATGCCTCCAAAGAAATTCAGATTCAACTGCCACGTTTACAACAAGGTCATGACAATCCGACAAAAGCAAAACCGGCATTTTCATCCATTCTCATTCTTGCATGCCTCCGAATTTTATGAAATATGGTCTTTAAATATACTTATTTCAGAGCCCTTCATTACATAAGCATACTTGAGCAAGAATGCTTCAACTACAACTTTGAAATGTCTGACAATGACTACTTATGTATACTAAGCAATGATTTTTAATACAGCTATGATAACGTCCGAAATAGTGAGCCCACACCAATAATCAAAAGTAGAACACGGATTTTAGTTTGTTTCTGGGGAAAAAATTTACTTGATTAAAAATAATTCAATTTGTGAAATATTTTACAGCAGTTATTTAGCTAAAAGGTACATTACCAACAAATATTTCATGGGTGGGTGTCCTAGTGGTGAAAGTAGATACATCAGAGGATACAACAGACAGATGAACAGCATCATTAGTTTTGGTGAGGAAAGGATTTAGGCTTGGAATGGCATCATCAACAGCATCAACAGTAGCAGAGAATGGATCTGTGCAATGCCAGCGAGTAAGATAAAGAAGAAAGGGGAATTGAATTAGTAAGGAATTAATTGTTAGAAACAGCAGAAGAGATAAGAGTTCACATTGTTTTCCTCTCTGGGCAGCGACTGTTTTAGTCTGTACTGCATCTAGAACAACAGGTACTGGTTCTGGAATGAGATTCCAATGCATTACCATAATACAAATTAATAATTTACATGGCAGAATTGTAAGCCAGTAAACCGGTGAGAAAAACCTAAAACAAAATTACAGCCTTACCCAGTCTTTAAATGCCATGTTATTTTCTAGAAAGAATGTATGCAAGGACAGGATTGAAAATACCATACTTTGCTTCCTGTTTCTACAAAAGAAAGTCTCCCCATTACTTGGAACACAAGCAGCAATAAGCTCAGTAGGAATGCGGCATTGGCTGCAAAGGAGCAAAGCCTGGCTGCTTCTGCTTCAAGAAGCAGCAGCCAAAATTGAGGCTGCCTGCCAAAAAAAAAAAAAAAAAAAAGTCCACGTTGGGATTGGGGCTTGACAGTAACAGGAATATATCCGGCTAAAAGAAGTCAAAGGTGGACAAAAGGGAGTTCCAAATCCTCCTGAGGTGGGCTGGTAAGGTATTCTTTTCCCTCCCATCCGAAAGCAGAAAAAGAGTAGGGCAAGCCAGTCAGCACCAACCCCATGGATTAGCAGGTGGCAGAAGGTGGGTTAGTTTCACTGCTGCCTCAACCCTATGCAAGACCTCAGATCTCCCACTGAAATGAGTGGGAGTTGGACCTGCTCTTTAACTGCATTTTACTATTTTAAATAATACAATTATACAGGCATTCCTGAATAATAGTTGTGATTCTGCTATTTTTAGTAGTAGTTTTCAATTTCTGGCACTTTTACACTTTGCTGTAGAGACAAACTGATTTCATCCAAAGCTCTTCCAGATCAAACTAAGACTTGTCATAGTTTCTCAAATGCAACTTGCAAAATATTATATACTCAGCATGAATCTGAGTTAATTCATATCAATTTGCCACAACAAGTACTGCATAAAATAGGCTAAGTCATAGCTTTCAGTCTCACCATAGCCCTGAGCAACATGAAACTTCAGAATTGTGGCTGCAATTTTTCTTAGCATCTAAAAAACACTTTGAAATTGGGTTCAGACTTAGACTATTTTACACAAAAAAACCACAGACCTGCATTTGCCCCAGATTCAGTTAGGTTCAACTGCAAGAGTGGAATAGCTCAGAGGCCTTGTAAGAAAATGGTTTTTAGTCAACTGCTTGACAAACAGTGCTTTAGTAAAGGTCAAGCACTATTAAATAATGCCATAAGATTATTATAAAATGGCAATACGAAATCCTATGCTCATGTGCCTTACCCACAATTTAGGCTTTAACGTCAAAATCTTGTAATCATTGTCTGCAATGGGTGCTAATACAAGAAAATTTGAGCTCTGGCACAAGCAGATTAAAACAGTGTAAATGAAATTAGATTTTCATTTGACATCCTGACCTTCCAAGTTTTGTCCTCTCTTGGTTTTATTTCCTTCCCTTGTAATCAACAGAAAATAGAACATTTAAGACAAACTATGGTTAACTCCAAGTTTATGGAAGTTTCAAAATACATCTTCTGCCTTTTGATTTCTGAAGCTTAAGGTACATATTGGCACTTGACAAACAGAACACACACAAGTCAGTCAGTCAACTAAAACACTAGGTATGGTCCTTTATAGTTTGCAAATACTTCATTTTTTCAACTATGTACCGACTGTTTGATTAAATAATTCAGACAAAAACAGCAGAAGGTTTAAGAGAACACTAAAGAAAGCTTTAAAAGTGTTGATCAGTTTATGTTGCTTTATAGGTATTGTCAATTGAGCTCTTAGTATTTTATGTGCACAATGAAAAGGCTACTTAACACATTGGAACAGCATCTGTTCCCTGAACATCAAGTTTCAGATTGCATTAGTATTGTTTGTCCCACCTGAATGTCGAGTAACACTGTCAAAAACACTAGTAAAAAGCTATAAACCTCCTGCCCATTTTTTTCAACACTCAGATCGTAATTTTTGAAAATTTTAGATTCTACCCACTGTCCGACCTTGACTCCAATTAATGTATTTCCAATTTTATCTAGCTCTCAGTGTGACTTACTGTACTTACACTTCTGATATAAGAAATGCAACTTCATCAGACTGAAGTACATTGGGTTCATTTAGGCCCTTACATACTCATCATAAGAAGCATGACAGAGAAGCATGCTCTCTTGCTAGCAGCAATTTTCAGTTCTTAAAGCCATGTTCCACCCTTGGATATGCACAGCTCCCATTTATTTCAATGGGAGCCCTGCTTGCACAGTGAAGGCAGAATCCAGCCTGTATTGCTGTATTGGAGCTAAGACTTTTTTCCCCCTCCCCCAAACAGTCATTTTCCATTTTGCAAGCCAACTTCTCTTCGCAAATAACCGCACTATAAGTATTTCAGAAACAGCAGAGGACAAAAGAAACCCTCAACTTTTTCAGTGGCTTCTATCATGTTATTAAAAGAAACTCTTAAGTGACTCAACATGTTCCCGCTCTTGAATAGCTGGTCAACTTCTAATCCCCCTAGATCTGAACAGTTTAGAAAACTAGAATCTCAAGACACTACCAAAATATTAATGCCCTTGTAGCTGGCTGTACATCCATCTGCACATCCTTAATGGATTGGTGAATAAAATTTTCAGACATGCCTAACTGATGTAGGCGCTCAAGCCCCGTTGTAAGCCAAGTTATACCTGGTCCATTACCCTTTCATTACCACATATACCCTTAAACTATCATATTCTCTAGGTACAAACATTACCAACATTAGAGATTTACCTAAGGGAGGGATGCTGTGCAGTGGTTAGAGCACAGGACTGGAAATAGTTCAGGTTCCAATCTTGCCTCTGCCATTGACTTGCTGTATGATCTCAGGCAAGTCACTTAACTGCTCAGTTTCCCCATCTGTAAAATGGGGAAGAGGAAGTTACTCACCTTGTGCAGTAACAATGGTTCTTTGAGATATGTCCCCCTACAGGTGCTCCACTGTAGGTGTGTCTGCGCCCCTCTGCCTCTGATTGGCGATTTTAGGTAGCAGTGTCCATTCGGCCTGCACATGTGCTCTCCCTCCCTCCCTCCTGCTCTGCCTCGGGGCTAACTAGCACTGCGTGGATGAACTGCCTTCAGTTCCTTCTCTACTGCAGAGCCCCTTTGTTGAGAACTCCTAAGTAGAGGGGAGGAGGGTGGGTTGTGGACTACACATAGGGACCCATCTCGAAGAACCATCGTTACTGCACAAGGTGAGTAACTTCCTCTTCTTCGAGTAGTGTCCCTATGGGTCGTCTTAGTTTATGCGCAATGTACCTCAGGTGGGATGTAACCAGGATTCATCACCACTCCACTGTAGGTGACTTCACAGCTGTATCCTATATGGGGGGCTGGGACTTCAGAGTAGAGTCTATTATTGATGATAATACTGTGGAGCCAAAGATAGTATCAGAAGTCTCAAGTAATCACACAGTGTTCCGCAAAAGTATGACCACAGGCCCATTTGCAGCTGTGCACATTTCTGGGCTGGGAACATCTTTAACCAATGTGACTGAGGTAGAAATGGATCTCATGGAGCGTGTGTGAATTCCTGATGGAGGTAGCAGGTAATGGGCACGGTAACAATAGTTAATGCAGTTCAAGACCCATTTGGAGAGCCTTTGAGCTGATATTGCGGAGACCTTGGATCTATCCGCAATGGAGAGGAAGATTTCAGGAGATTTCCTAAAGCACTTTGTCCTATCCAAATAAAATGCTACGGCTCTCCTAACATCAAGCATATGTAGTACTGCCTCCCTGTTGTTGCAGTGTGGTTTTGGAAGAAAGGTCGGGAGGTGGATGAGTTGGTTCATGTGGAAAAATGAGGCCACCTTGTGCAGGAACTTCGGGTGTGGTCTCAGAATGCCTTTATCTTTAAAGAAGACCATGAAGGGTGGGTGCGCCATCAATGCTGCTATTTTCCCTATTTGGCGTGCTGAGGTGATGGTCTTAATTGACAGGTGTAGAAGAGAGCCAGTTGCCCATAGGTTCAAAGGATAGTCTAGTTAGGGTCTTTAGAACTAGATTGAGGTCCCATATTGGAGTGGGGCATCTGGTATATGGAAAGAGGTTTCCCATGTCCTTGAGGAATGTGTGTGTTCTTGGATGGGCGAATACAGAATATCCATCCACCTGCTGGTGGAAGGCCCTTATCGCCACAAGATGTACTCTGAGCGATCTAAGAGATAGACCAGTCTTTTGGAGATCTAGTATATAGTCTAGGATCAAAGGAAGGGAGGAAGATGTTGGAGCAACTTGATTGGAATTGCCCCCAGGTAAGTACAATGTAGGTAAGTACGATGAGTCGTTTTTTGCAGGTAAGTACGATGAGTCGATTTCCTACTGTGTAGTAACACTTCCTTCACCTCCTCAGAGCAGCAGCTCTCTGTGTTGGAACCACAAAGGAGCCAAGCCTGGAGCTGAAGGATCTGTAAGTTGGGGTGATAGATCTGTCTGTCGTAAAGGAATCGGAGGCCACATTGCTAACTGTCTCAGGTATGGGTACCACATTTGTCTCAGTCAGGTGGGGGCAATCAGTGTAACTCTTGCTTTTTCCTGCCTTATCTTTAATAGGACCTTCAACAGCAGAGGGAATGGAGGAAAAGCGTATGGCAGTTCTCTGCCCCATTGAAGAAGGAAAGTGTCTCCTAGGGACTGTTTCCCCAATCTGGCTCTGGAGCAGTAGCAGGGACATTTCTTGTTCTGGTAAGTAGCAAACAGGTCTATTGTTGGGGTTCCCCATTGACCAAATATGTTGTGGAGCACTGTTGGGTTCATTTCCCATTTGTGGCCGCATGACAAATTTTAGCTGAGACTGTCTGCTGTTATATTTTGTACCCCTGGCAAATAGCGGCTGATATGAGTACATTGTGGTGGCTGCACCAATTACAGAGGTTTAGT